AGGAGGACCTGATGGTAGAAGCAGATGGAAGGAGGGCCTTAGGGTTAGGGCAATTGGAAGGAGGGCCTATGGGCAGAAGGAGGACCTGATGGCGGGAGGGGGATCTGCTGGTAGAAGCCGGACCTGAGGGTGGGGGAGGGACCTGAAGGCAAGAGGAGGACCCTATGGCAGGAGGAGCACCTGATGGCACTTGCCTAATTGATAAATCGGTGTCCAGACTGCGCACTTGGTCTGAGAACATAAGATTTGTATTTCGAGGGGTTAAACCTGCGTGACCGGTCTGCTGACACCTTTAGATGTTGGTCTCGGCCTCTGTCCTCCCTCTTGTCTTGTTTTAGTTGCACTCGCAGTGGTGGCTACGACCTCGGTGGGACCTGCATATGGCAATTATTAAGGTGGCGTCCGGGGGGTTGTGACGGACCGTGCAAGATGGCCTCCGGGGGGTTGTGACGGACCGTGCAAGATGGCGTCCGAGGGGGCTGTGACGGACCGTGCAAGATGTCTGCGCTCTCCCCGGTCCTCTCTGACTGTCTCCTCCTGCGCTCTCCCCGGTCCTCTCTGACTGTCTCCTCCTGCGCTCTCCCCGGTCCTCTCTGACTGTCTCCTCCTGCGCTCTCCCCGGTCCTCTCTGACTGTCTCCTCCTGCGCTCTCCCCGGTCCTCTCTGACTGTCTCCTCCTGCGCTCTCCCCGGTCCTCTCTGACTGTCTCCTCCTGCGCTCTCCCCGGTCCTCTCTGACTGTCTCCTCTGCGCTCTCCCCGGTCCTCTCTGACTGTCTCCTCTGCGCAGGTCACATGATGGATCGCTATGCTGAGCTGAAGCTCCTTCTGAAGACCTGGGAGGGGGATTTCCTGAAGGAACATGAAAGGAAGCCCACCAAGGTGAGAATGGGGACACCCCCTCTGCCCGCCCCTTCCTCTGCCCGCCCCTTCCTGTCCTGTCAGACACAAGTTATTGCAGCCCCGGGATGATGGATACAGTATATGGAGGAGAGATACTATGATGATGGGGGCGGGGCTAATTATTATTGCACTAACCTTATATACTAATTAGGGATGAACTAATATATCGGCCGAAAAGTGCAATTTTCCTGCCGATAAATTGGCGCATCCGTGTGTCTCTGAGGGCTCTGTGTGTGTGTCTGAGGGCTCTGTGTTAATGTCTGAGGGCTCTGTGTGTGTCCCTGGGGGGCTCTGTTGTGTGTCCCTGGGGGCTCTGGTGTGTGTCCCTGAGGGCTCTGGTGTGTGTCTCTGAGGGCTCTGTGTGTCTCTGAGGGCTCTGTGTGTGTGTCTGAGGGCTCTGTGTTAATGTCTGAGGGCTCTGTGTGTGTCCCTGGGGGGCTCTGTTGTGTGTCCCTGGGGGCTCTGGTGTGTGTCCCTGAGGGCTCTGGTGTGTGTCTCTGAGGGCTCTGTGTGTCTCTGAGGGCTCTGTGTGTGTGTCTGAGGGCTCTGTGTTAATGTCTGAGGGCTCTGTGTGTGTCCCTGGGGGGCTCTGTTGTGTGTCCCTGGGGGCTCTGGTGTGTGTCCCTGAGGGCTCTGGTGTGTGTCTCTGAGGGCTCTGTGTGTCTCTGAGGGCTCTGTGTGTGTGTCTGAGGGCTCTGTGTTAATGTCTGAGGGCTCTGTGTGTGTCCCTGGGGGGCTCTGTTGTGTGTCCCTGGGGGCTCTGGTGTGTGTCCCTGAGGGCTCTGGTGTGTGTCTCTGAGGGCTCTGTGTGTCTCTGAGGGCTCTGTGTGTGTGTCTGAGGGCTCTGTGTTAATGTCTGAGGGCTCTGTGTGTGTCCCTGGGGGGCTCTGTTGTGTGTCCCTGGGGGCTCTGGTGTGTGTCCCTGAGGGCTCTGGTGTGTGTCTCTGAGGGCTCTGTGTGTCTCTGAGGGCTCTGTGTGTGTGTCTGAGGGCTCTGTGTTAATGTCTGAGGGCTCTGTGTGTGTCCCTGGGGGGCTCTGTTGTGTGTCCCTGGGGGCTCTGGTGTGTGTCCCTGAGGGCTCTGGTGTGTGTCTCTGAGGGCTCTGTGTGTCTCTGAGGGCTCTGTGTGTGTGTCTGAGGGCTCTGTGTTAATGTCTGAGGGCTCTGTGTGTGTCCCTGGGGGGCTCTGTTGTGTGTCCCTGGGGGCTCTGGTGTGTGTCCCTGAGGGCTCTGGTGTGTGTCTCTGAGGGCTCTGTGTGTCTCTGAGGGCTCTGTGTGTGTGTCTGAGGGCTCTGTGTTAATGTCTGAGGGCTCTGTGTGTGTCCCTGGGGGGCTCTGTTGTGTGTCCCTGGGGGCTCTGGTGTGTGTCCCTGAGGGCTCTGGTGTGTGTCTCTGAGGGCTCTGTGTGTCTCTGAGGGCTCTGTGTGTGTGTCTGAGGGCTCTGTGTTAATGTCTGAGGGCTCTGTGTGTGTCCCTGGGGGGCTCTGTTGTGTGTCCCTGGGGGCTCTGGTGTGTGTCCCTGAGGGCTCTGGTGTGTGTCTCTGAGGGCTCTGTGTGTCTCTGAGGGCTCTGTGTGTGTGTCTGAGGGCTCTGTGTTAATGTCTGAGGGCTCTGTGTGTGTCCCTGGGGGGCTCTGTTGTGTGTCCCTGGGGGCTCTGGTGTGTGTCCCTGAGGGCTCTGGTGTGTGTCTCTGAGGGCTCTGTGTGTCTCTGAGGGCTCTGTGTGTGTGTCTGAGGGCTCTGTGTGTGTGTCTGAGGGCTCTGTGTTAATGTCTGAGGGCTCTGTGTGTGTCCCTGGGGGGCTCTGTGTGTGTCCCTGGGGGGCTCTGTTGTGTGTCCCTGGGGGCTCTGGTGTGTGTCCCTGAGGGCTCTGGTGTGTGTCTCTGAGGGCTCTGTGTGTGTGTCTGAGGGGTCTGTGTGTGTCCCTGAGGGCTCTGGTGTGTGTCCCTGAGGGCTCTGGTGTGTGTCCCTGAGGGCTCTGGTGTGTGTCCCTGAGGGCTCTGGTGTGTGTCCCTGAGGGCTCTGGTGTGTGTCCCTGAGGGCTCTGGTGTGTGTCCCTGAGGGCTCTGGTGTGTGTCCCTGAGGGCTCTGGTGTGTGTCCCTGAGGGCTCTGGTGTGTGTCCCTGAGGGCTCTGGTGTGTGTCCCTGAGGGCTCTGGTGTGTGTCCCTGAGGGCTCTGGTGTGTGTCCCTGAGGGCTCTGGTGTGTGTCCCTGAGGGCTCTGGTGTGTGTCCCTGAGGGCTCTGGTGTGTGTCCCTGAGGGCTCTGGTGTGTGTCCCTGAGGGCTCTGGTGTGTGTCCCTGAGGGCTCTGGTGTGTGTCCCTGAGGGCTCTGGTGTGTGTCCCTGAGGGCTCTGGTGTGTGTCCCTGAGGGCTCTGGTGTGTGTCCCTGAGGGCTCTGGTGTGTGTCCCTGAGGGCTCTGGTGTGTGTCCCTGAGGGCTCTGGTGTGTGTCCCTGAGGGCTCTGGTGTGTGTCCCTGAGGGCTCTGGTGTGTGTCCCTGAGGGCTCTGGTGTGTGTCCCTGAGGGCTCTGGTGTGTGTCCCTGAGGGCTCTGGTGTGTGTCCCTGAGGGCTCTGGTGTGTGTCCCTGAGGGCTCTGGTGTGTGTCCCTGAGGGCTCTGGTGTGTGTCCCTGAGGGCTCTGGTGTGTGTCCCTGAGGGCTCTGGTGTGTGTCCCTGAGGGCTCTGGTGTGTGTCCCTGAGGGCTCTGGTGTGTGTCCCTGAGGGCTCTGGTGTGTGTCCCTGAGGGCTCTGGTGTGTGTCCCTGAGGGCTCTGGTGTGTGTCCCTGAGGGCTCTGGTGTGTGTCCCTGAGGGCTCTGGTGTGTGTCCCTGAGGGCTCTGGTGTGTGTCCCTGAGGGCTCTGGTGTGTGTCCCTGAGGGCTCTGGTGTGTGTCCCTGAGGGCTCTGGTGTGTGTCCCTGAGGGCTCTGGTGTGTGTCCCTGAGGGCTCTGGTGTGTGTCCCTGAGGGCTCTGGTGTGTGTCCCTGAGGGCTCTGGTGTGTGTCCCTGAGGGCTCTGGTGTGTGTCCCTGAGGGCTCTGGTGTGTGTCCCTGAGGGCTCTGGTGTGTGTCCCTGAGGGCTCTGGTGTGTGTCCCTGAGGGCTCTGGTGTGTGTCCCTGAGGGCTCTGGTGTGTGTCCCTGAGGGCTCTGGTGTGTGTCCCTGAGGGCTCTGGTGTGTGTCCCTGAGGGCTCTGGTGTGTGTCCCTGAGGGCTCTGGTGTGTGTCCCTGAGGGCTCTGGTGTGTGTCCCTGAGGGCTCTGGTGTGTGTCCCTGAGGGCTCTGGTGTGTGTCCCTGAGGGCTCTGGTGTGTGTCCCTGAGGGCTCTGGTGTGTGTCCCTGAGGGCTCTGGTGTGTGTCCCTGAGGGCTCTGGTGTGTGTCCCTGAGGGCTCTGGTGTGTGTCCCTGAGGGCTCTGGTGTGTGTCTCTGAGGGCTCTGTGTGTGTCTCTGAGGGCTGGATCCTGGTGGGGGAGGGGTGCACGGTGCATTGGTGGACATTCCATGACTGACATCCTTTTAATCTCTGATAGGCGGACATAGAACATGCGTCGCAGGAAACGCAGGGTAAGGGGGGGAAGGATGAAATCTGAAGAACGCAGACTCCACTGACCCTCATTCATTGGCCTCCATGTTTCTCCCTCAGACCTCTACAAGGAGTTCCGGGCCCTGAAACAGAAGAGACCGGCCCCGGAATCCGTGTCATCTGTGCAGGATAGAGACGCAGACCAGGACCCCGAGAGGGAGGTGAGTCTGGTCCCAGGGCCTAGAGAGGGAGGGGGGGGTCCGGTCCCAGTGCCCAGAGAGGGAGGGGGGAGTCCGGTCCCAGTGCCCAGAGAGGGAGGGGGGAGTCCGGTCCCAGTGCCCAGAGAGGGAGGGGGG